TCTAACTTTTTTTAAAATTATTTTAAAATAAGCAAAATTAATATTATACACACAGAAGAAAATTAATTAATAATTAAAGAATCTATCTCTAATATTAATTATTAATATTATTATAAATTATATATTATCTTAATTAATAAAAATAAAATTTCTGCTAAAGCCAAGTAGTAATTTATTATAATTTTTAAAAAAGTTATAAATAATTTATTAATATATATAATTAAGTACAGCTATTATTAAAATAAATTATTTAATATAAAGAATTAAGTCTATATTAAATTAATTATTAAATTTATAATAAAAAATATTTAATAAAGCCAATACTATAAATAATTATTAAATTATATTCTTAATATTAAAATATATTTATAAGACTATATTTAGTATTATTATAAATTAATTTTATTATTTATATATAAAGCAGAATCTAATAAGAGCTTCTGATATATATTATTAATTAAAAAATCTTATTATAAAAGATATTTTTAAATTATAAAAAAAATTAGTCTTAATATAATTATCTGCTATTATCTTTAAATATTTTATAAATAATAATTAATTAAGTACTAAGATTATTAAGAATATAATTAATTTTATATATTTTAAGTATTTTTCTTAACTTATATAATTATAATTAATATTAAACTTAATTAAAATAAAGTTCTTTATATTAATTATACAGATTCTTAAATATTAATATATATAATTAAAAATATAGTTATTAATAATTAAATTAGAAATTATAAAAAATTAATTAGTATCTATAGATAAGCAGACTCTTATAAGATTTTTATATATAATATTATTTTTAAGAGTTTATATATCTAAATATATTAACTTAATAAAAATTATAAAAAGTATATTAAAATATAAAAAAAATATTACTAAGTATTTAATTAGTTTTAATTAAGATATAAAATAACAGCGAGTATTTAATATAATTAAATAATATATTAAAATAATATAATTATTTAAAAATAATAATAGAAAGTAATATTATCTTAGTATAGATATATTTAATTATAGACTAAAAAATATATTATTTTAAATTAATAATATATTAATTAGAATAAGAATCTTATAATATATATTAAAATAAGAATATTTAATTATATATATATTTTCTATTTTATTATCTGCAGAATAATAATATTATATTATAAAAAAAAGATTTTTATAATTATTAAATATCTTAAAAAGATAAGATAATTAATAAAAAGATTATATTATTTTATAATTATTAATATAGATTATTCTATAATATAGTCAGTATTTATTAAAGTATTAGATATAATAAAAAAATTATATACTGATATTATTAACTACAGAAATATAATATTAATATTATATATATTTTTAATTACTTATAGATATTAATTAATAAATTATTATAAATATTATATTAAAAAATTTATAAAAATTAATTAAAATTTATTTTTTTTATTTTTATTACAGAGATACAGAAGTAAATAAAGCAGAATAATATATAATTAAAAAGATTAATTATTAAAGATTATTTAAATAATATAATTAAATTATTAAATAACTACTGAGTAATATAATTAATAAAAACTTTATAAAATAATCTAGATTTATTAATCTTAAGAAAGAAGTATACTTAATTTATAAAAAAAAAGATATAAAAATAAATATAATATATATTACTATATAAATTATTATCTATTTTATATAAACTATATAATTATTATAATTATTTTATAGTTAGAATTATTCTAGATTAAGCTATTAATTATTATTACTAATCAGAATACTATAATATTATATAAGAATATTATATCTTATATAATAAATATTAGTTAGCAGAATTAAAGATACTGTATAATATATTATATTTAATAACTATACTTAGATTTATAAAGTTATAAATAATAAATTATATTAAATTAATTACTCTAATATTAGCTATAAATAATTAATATATTTTTATCACAGCTAATTACTTTAGTAAATATATACTTATAAAGATATTATTAAAGACTATAATTTAGTAATTATTTAATTTTATTAAAGAGAATATTATAAAGATATTTAAATAATTAGTTAAATTTTATATAAATAATAGAAATTATTTTATTAAGATTAACTTCTATAATATAATTAAGTATAAGAGAGTTAAGTATATAATAGTAATAATAATAATATTATAATTAATAAATCTTGCGGAATAGATTATATAAATAATAATTAATTTATTATAGATAATAATTCTAAAAAATAAAATCAGTAGATTTTAATAAAATAAATTTCTTGATATAATAATATAGTTAATTAATATAAAAAAAATATAATTAATTAGATTTATATTAGCAGAGATTCTTCTAGAATATAAATTAAAATATTGAGATATAATATTATTATAAGAATAAACTATACAGAATATTATTCATAAATATAATCTTATAAATAATAATAATTAGTTAGCTATAATATAAGCAGCAAGAAATAAATAATTAAATAAAGCAAGAAAAATCTTATAATAGTATTATAAATAATAGAATATACTAGATTTTTTAAAAAAAATAATTATAGACAATCTAGTACTCTTCCAGAGAATTATAATTAATAAAAATAAAAAAAAAAGTTAAAATCTTATTAAACAGAACTATTCTTAATCAGAAGAGTATTAAATTATTAATAATTTATTATTCTTAAAAATATTTTAATATAATTTAATATTAGAAAGTATTATATTAATTATTTCAAGCTATTTTATATAAGATTTTCTAATATTATAAAGAAAGCACAAGATCTTATAGCTAGAAAAAAATAATAATAATAAAAAATCTTATATTATTAAAAAAGAAGTTAATAAGAAAAAGATATAATAATTATTAAAGACCTATTTTTAAAAAAATAAATATTAATAATAATTCTTTACTAATTAGTATTTATTTATTTAATTATTTAATAACTATTTCTAATATATCTTATCTCTATTTTATATACTATCTTATCTTATTTTATTTTATTTTTTTATCTTATTTTTACTTTCTACTTCTTATTTATCTTTTTTATTTTTATTATTTTATATTATATTTCTTTTTTTTTTATATATATATTTTATTTTAGAATTTTATCTATTTTCTTTATTAGTAATTATAATATTAATATAATAATTATAATCTTTAGATTACAGAATAATAATTAATATAAATATATTTTAAATATTCTCTCTAAAAGATTTAAAAATTTAAATAATAAAAGATATTATTCTATTTTATTAGACACTGATTTAGTTAATCTAATATTAATTAATTTAAGATTTAAACTAAAGCTTAAAAAAAGAGATAATATTATATCTATAATTATAACTCTAAGAGAGTAAAATCCTGATTTGATTATTAAATTAAAATTATTTTTATTAGTTTAATTCTTTAATAATAAAATATTATTATCTAGAGATATAAGTTCAGTTATTAAATTAATTTATAAAATAATAATTAAAAAGAATATAATTCTTATTAATAATAAGCTTTTATAGATTAGTAACTTACTAATTAAATATAGAAAATTATATTATAATTATTTTATTAAAGCTGAAAAGCTTTAAATCTACTATTATTATATTATCTTTATTAAGAATATAAATAAAATTTTTAAATTTTTTCTTAAAGTAAGATATTCTAATATAAATTATTAAAAATTATAATATTAATAATAATATTAATTATATTGTAATATATTTATTAGCAAGAGTCAGAACTATAAGTAAAAGCAGAAGATTTATAAGAATAATTATATTTAAAAAAAATTTTATAAGATTAGAGATCAATAAGTTTAATAAAATTTATTATAAATAAATAATATCTATTATTTTTTAGAATTAGATTATTATAAATCTATTTAATTCTATAATTAATAAATAAATTATTATAAATAATAAAATAATTAAACTTTAAACTTTAAAAAAAGCAGTTATTTATAAAAAAATAATTAAATAAGAAATTAAAATAAAATATATAAATAATTATTATAAAAAGATTTAAGATCTTATAGCTTAAGTTAATATTCTTAAAATTTAAATTAAGATTAAAAATTATAATCTTAATATTTAATAAGTAAATTATAAAGAATAAATTAGATTAATAAATAAATAATATAATAAATATATATAATTATTATAAAATAAATATTAAGTAGCTCTGTAATAATCTATTAAATATTAATTTAAAAATAAATCAGAATTTAATTTTATACTTTACTCTGAATATTTATCTTATAATAATATTATAAAATTAATTAAAAAGAATTATAAAGAATATATTTATAAAATTATAAATAAATATATAGATTAGATAATTAAAATATATAATAATTATATAAAAGAATTTAATTATTTATAAATAAATTATTATAAAAAGATTATCAAGCAGATAAATAAGTATATTAAATAATTAAAATAAATAAAAGAGATATATAATTAATTAATAAATACTTATTTAAATTAATTAAAAATTATTATTAATAATATCAGAATTATTGTCAGTAAAGCTATAAAAATATATAATTTATTATTTATTATATTAATAATTTTATCTAACAGATCTGGCCAGTAAGTTAAATAATAATTATTAATATTATTGTATAAAATATAGTTAATAACTAAAGCAGAGAAAAATTATTAGACTAGATAATAAAAAAAAGATTTTTTTAAAATAAATAATTATTATTTATAATTATTATTAATATAGATAGATAATCTCGCCTGAAGACTCTTTATCCAATTAATTAAATTAATTATTATTTATTAATATTTTATTATTTGTGAATAGCTTTATTAGATATTTCTTATTATATAATAAGGACTGCTTATCTGCAGTATATCATAGCAGAACTAGCTACCATTACTGCTAATTAGTACAACAGTATCTGATTTTACTTGAGACAACACGGGACCGTTTCATTACCCAGCCTTTTTCCACATCCGGCATGCCAGGTGTTACTTTGTCCATTTCGAAGCCCCATCTTTTTTTATCTAACAGAATTGCCAACTAAGCAGCCTTCTACTTGGTGGCTTCGAACCCAATATCTAGAAAAACCTGTCGATAACTCGATATGCCATCCGCGATGCCCTCTCGTAATGAAACGTCATACCTCCTGAACCAGGTGCGTGCATGTTTGAGGATTTGCTCGATATGCTAACTGAACCGGCTCCTATAGCTCATCATATCTCCTTCAGATGCGGACTACCTAGATCAATTGATCCCTTCAATCAAAGAATACAGCATTGGCAACAGAACATCCAAACTTCTGCAAACTCTGTCTAGATTTGCTAGTGACAAAGAGGCTGAGATAGAGTCTATTTGCAACACAAATCATCAAGAATTCGTTACTTCTGTGAATCATCTTCTCCGTATTCGAGAAGGCACTGTCAGCTTAACTGCCGAGATACTGGATCTCAACCAGTCCATACAAGCCAGCACGGAGAGGTTAGCTGAACAAAAAAGAGCTTTAGTAGACTCCCGGAGTCACCGGCAAAATATCGATGAGACATCACGAGCCATCCAGGATTGTCTTGAGGTCTTGCGTCTCGCAAATCAGGTCCATGATTTGCTCGCAAAAAAAAATCACTATGCTGCACTTCGCGCTCTTGAAGAGTTACAAAATGTCCATCTCAAAGGTGTGACACAGTATAAGATTGCTGATATGATTCAAAGCTCTGTGCCCGCAAGCCAGAAAGCAATAGCTGAAGCAGTCATGTCTGATCTTAATACTTGGCTGTACAGAATTCGGGAGATGTCTCAATACCTTGGGGAGATTGCTTTGTATCATACGGACCTGAGGAAAACTAGGCAAAAAGAAAGGACAGAGAAATACCCCTATTTGAGCCAATTCAAGCTAAATTCGGCGATAGAGCTGGTTTCAGATGAGAGTGAAGAATATGATCTCTTGCAGAACGAGGAACTTCAAGTTGATTTCACGCCGCTATTTGAATGCCTCCATATCCATCGGTCTCTTGGACATATGGATAGATTCCGAGTTGAATATACCAATACACGGCGTCGGCAAAAGGAGCTCTTAGTCCCTACAGCCATAACGCTTGTTGACGAGGATGGAGCGAGTCTTCACAATCTTCTTGAAGAAATGGCGGGCTTTGCCATTGTCGAACGTTCCACAATGAAGAGGGTTCCGGACCTCAGATCGCCAGTTGATGTGTGTTTCCCTCTACATGGGGTAATGTTTTCATGGCATACTTAATAAACTTGAATAGGTCGACGAACTCTGGGATTCGATGTGCCAAACTGCCGTTGGCCTGATATCAAAGGCACTTCATGAAGTCGACAATGCCGAAAGTCTTCTAAAAATTAAAAACCTTATTGCCTTGTTTATGCAGACAATGAATGTCCGTTGATTCCCCTGCTATAGCAAAGGTCGCTTACACTAATCGGGGTGATAGACCTGGGGCTTCCCTGTTGGGGTATTCGACGACTTTCTCCTGACTCTGTTTAGGAAATATGCTGAGTTGCTCAAGAAACGATTCAGTGATGATTTCCAAGAGGTGAGAATCTGGCCCCAATATGAAGGCTTTGTGCTGAAACATGTTAAAGATAGTATCAACCGATGACTATATGCCGATGCCAATTCAGACAATGGAGGAATTTGACAAAGTATTGAATGTCAGCTGGTATAGCCCAGATAAACCAAGACAAGAACAAGTGTATGTCCTGCCTAACAACAAGATCGTGTTTCAACAACTAACAATGTATACTGTGTAGGTTTCCCTGTGTCTTGCCGTTTTCTCAAATGTATCCATTGTGCTGCATTGACATCCGAAATTTCTTGAATCAGTTTTACTTCTTTGCAAATGATGACTTCTCACATCCTACTGTTATCGACGAGACACTGAGAGATGTAAGTGAAATGTCCAAATTAGGCTACCTCCTTGCTGACTACTTAAGGCCCTGGATGAACTTTTGTCTAACAAAGTTTGCGACACCCTTGTTGAGCGGCTCTCCTCACAGTATTTAGGGCAAATTGTGCAAATACTGATAAATCTGGAACATTTTGAGCTCGCATGTCGCGAACTTGAGCTGCTGCTTGCTGCTGCTAGATCACAGAATATCTCAGGTGATGTAGTCAACTTAAATGCTACTGAAAAATTCAAGAGCAACAAGAAAGCAGCAGAGAAACGTATCTTTGAGGTTGTGAATTCCAAGATCGACGATCTTATTGAAACAGCCGAGTATGACTGGATGGCATCCGTACCACCCACAGAGCCAAGCAATTACATGCAGACTTTGACACGCTTCCTTTCCAACATCATGAATTCAACGTTGCTTGGACTTCCAACTGAGATCAAGGAGCTTATATATTTTGATGCACTCAGTCATGCGGCAAACATGATCCTTGTAGGCAATTCCTAAAATTTACATTGAGGTATACACTAACCTTCTTCAGGCACTTCCTCTTTCTGCGGAAGTTAAAAAGATCAATCCGAACGGCGTGATGGCGCTTGCAAAAGACGTCGAGTACCTATATCAGTTTGTTGACAGCCTTGGCGTTCCTATACTTCGGGAAAACCTTGATGAATTGCAACAGACAGTCCAGTTGATGCAGGCGGATAATACTGACGAGTTTTACGACATCTCCACCCGAAATAAAAAATATGGGCGTGTGGATGCCATCCATGGTCCCATATTATTAGAAAAGTGAGTTCTTATCCATTACGGTTTTCGCCTTGGTTGCTAACCGACAAGAAGGATCATACGCACAGTTCAAAGCTCCACCAAGACTGATAAATTTACGACACTTTCATCGAGATTTGGCAAGAAAACATGAATTGCCCTCATCACTTTACAATCCACCCCCCTGTGGCGTCAAATGATGATACTCCTTACATCACATATCAAGACAATACATTGCGTGGCTGAACAGGGCATGAGATCTGCTGCGCAAGGTCTTTATAGTCCTTCGCAATGGATGGCAATTGGAACACACCTAGTGATATAGCCTTTGACAGAATAACAGAATCAATATCATAGCGTAAGTAGGATACGATACTTTTATATGCCACCCAGCTGTATCTGGTGCATTCACTATTGTATTCAACATATCAGCGAACGGAAAGTTTTGCAGGTGTAAAATGAGCCGTGGATTAAACATAGAACTCCTTTGACTGTGATCAAACTTACCTGCTGAGGCGGTAAATGCGGGTAAGCAGCATACATTCCTTCGAACATTTGGGGTTGATGCTGGCCATAAGCACCTGTCGGATCCGATTGAACGGCCCCCGCATACATTGCTGGTTGGCGATATTCCGGTTCCTGGAGACTATGTTGTCCAAGGGAACTATAGTCTGGGGGAGGCATGTGGTGTGATGTATGCTGAACACCGTGTTGTGACGGTGGTAGTTGACCAGTGGCTCCTGCAGGACCCGGAACGCCTGCTGAAGCTCCAGCTGCCTGGCTAGATCGTTTTGCATGCGATGTAGCTTCTTCGCGAGGTACTATGTCAATGAGGAAATCGAACATGTCAGACTTGGAAAGAGCCGCAGCAATATCGGATCTCTGTAAGGTACGTCGCTTATTGTCCTCGGCATGAATCCACGCCCGCATGGTAAGCTCGGTGATAAAAATATCACAACCCTTAGCAAAAAGTATTGGCGCCTCTGCTGATATCATCTTTACCTCTGGGTCAGCCTTCATGACCTTTTTGATTCTAGCTAGCGGAAGTTGATGTATCTTGTAATCATGGTTATCTGATTCAAGATGATTGATAATGTGCTGCCAATATGTTGTTAGGATGTCGCGGGCTGTCCCCTGTAAACCTTGATTCACCTGCCAAGTATAAGTCACTGAATGGTGGTCTTAGAAGTATAAGGCAAGAAGCTTTGAACGACTAACATTGGCCCATGTTCCAGTATAAAGTTCAGCAACAGGCGCATATCCTTGTGCAGAAAGCTACACAAATAGCAGGTCAGCTGTAGAAAAATGTGAAGGTGCTAACAAATCATACCGCGGCACTGGCACCTAAGAAAACGAAGTTAAGAAGTGTCCAAAGCCAATAGTAAGATGTGTTTTGGGGGGAAGATCCATGAGAGTTACCATAATGTCCACCGTTTCTCGTGTCGTACACAGGCTGTTGTCTGCCTTGCTGTTGCCCAGAGTTTTGCGCAGCCTGTTCCATGATGGTATTATTCTCACAGCCTTTCTTTGTCAAAAAAGATATAAGCACGGCGATATTTTCATCAATTAAATCGGGCAGCAAAAAGCTTGACTATTCGAATGTGGTAGCGGAAGGAATGCGACGCGACAGGCTTCGGGGTCAAGGCGAGTCAGCTGGTCTGATAGCAGGGCCTAGTGTTGACAAGTAATCGGACTAGTTGCCTGGAAACTGAGTATAGTCATCAATACCGTCAGGCGAGAAAAGAGCTTGTAGTCGATAGATTAGGAGTAGATACTACTCAGTTATGGTGCGCAACGATGACGCGCCAAGAATAGCCGGTTGCAAAGGTGCGGGGGAAGGACAGTAGTTATAGTTAGTTACGCCTTGAAGTGGATTCTCAGGGGTGTAGGGGCTTCCGGATGCTTTATCTGTACACAGTCTAAGATACAGAAGCAGAATACCTAGTAAAAGATAGAAATAATACTTCTTAGAGTTATAATATTAATAGTATAAATACTTAAGAAATTCTATTTAATAGTTACTAATAGATTTTTTAAGAGCTTAGAAGAATATATACTTACTCAGCTAAAAATAAAATAATTATATTCTATTTTTAATAAACTAAACATAGAATAATTATAATTTATCTATAAATCTAATTATATTATATTATTGTTGTTTACCTAAAATATAATTAATTCTTTAAATTAAAATAATTAAAAATAAGTATAAATTAGAGTTATATTAAATATATAAAAGATTTAGATATATTAATATACTAAAGCTGATTCTTTTATTTATTTAAATAAGTCTTAAATCTTTACCAAGATATATCTAGAGTGGCTAACAGCCAGGTCAGATCAGGTTAATTAGAATTTTTATATCTAACCGCCAGATTATAATCAGATTAAGAAAATTTTTATATCTAACTGTGATATAGCTAAAAACCGGGTAATTAATTATTTTAATTATTTTTAATATTAAGATTTATTTATTATATTTTTTAAGACTCTAGTATAATTAAGATATATTTAAATTAAATAATTATTAATTTAACTATTTTTATTATTATTTAAAAATATATAAAAAGAAGCTTTTTAAATTAAAAAAATATAATTAAAAAATAATTAATATTTTTTTTATTATTATTTATTAGAAATAATATAAAAATTCTAGTTATATTAATAAGATTCAGCTTTTTATAAAATTATTATTCTTATAATAAAAAATATATATATAAATATATAATTATTATTCTATTTTAATTATATATTTTAATTATATTATAAAATACTAGAAAAACTATATATTAATTATTAATTAAAATATTAAAAATAAATATATTATTTTTATTTTATTATTTCTTCTAGATTAGATTATTTTTAGATTTGTAAATAAAATATAGCTTAAAGAGCTATTAATAAAATCAAAAATAAATAATTAATTAAAAAGATTATAGATTATATATAAAATAATTAAAAAGAATAATTAGATTATTAAAATAAAGTAAATTAAATAGATTAAATAGATTAAATAAAATAAATAAATAAAATAGATAAATAAAATAAATAAAATAAATAAAATATATTAGAATTATATTATAATATTACAGCTTTTATAAAAGATTTTATAAAAAAATTTTATAAATTTTTTTATAAATATTTATTTTTTATTTTAATAAATAAATATATTATTTCTATTTTATTATTTTTTCTAAGTCAGACTATTCTTAGATTTATAAATAAGATATAGCTTAAAGAGCTATTAATAAAATTAAAAATTAATAAATAATTAAAAAGATTATAAATAATTAAATTATTAAAATAAAGCAGATTAAACAAATTAAATAAATTACATAAATTAAATAAATTAAATAAATTAAACAAATAAAATAAATAAATAAAATATATTAAATCTATATTATAATATTATAATATTTATAGAAGATTTTATAAAAGTCTTTTATAAATCTTTTTTATAAATATTTATTTTTTATTTTAATTTATTATATCTTAAACAGCTTTATTTAAAAAAAGAAATTATTTTATAACTTTAAGTTTTAGATATAAATTTCTATTTATTAAATTTATTAAAATAAATAAAATACAGCAGATATCTTAGCTATATATTAAAATATAATAGATTATATTTATATAAAATTATATCTTAAAATAAAATAAATTATCTTTATAAAGTTTTCTGCTTTTATTTTTTTATATTTATTATTTATAAAATAGTTTCAGAATTATAAATTAATTATAATTATTTAATTTATTTTTAAAAATTATTATTAAATCTTTTTTTTTATTTCTTAGATTTTTATAAATTATAATAATATCTAAATTAAGATAAGCTTTTTAAGTCAGATCTTTTCTTTTTTTTTAAATCTTAAGATTATATATATTATAAAAAATCAGAAGATTATTTTATATTCAGCTTTTTAAAAAAAACTTTTTATTTTTTAAGATTAATAATAAAAGATAATCTTTTTTAAAAATTATATATAAACTAAAAAACTATTATTTTATTTTAATCAGAAAAAATTATTAATAATATAAAATAATTTTTAGAAAGATATATTATTTTTTAATAAAATCTTTTATATTTATTATATTATATATTTTTATATTTTATAATACTTAGAAATTAAAAACTCAGAAACTAGTTTTATAAATTATTATTTTTATAAAAATTATAAGAAAAAATTATTATTAATTATATCTAAATAAATAATTAATTAGATATTAAATAAAAAATTATTATAAATATTTATTTATTTTTCTAAGATAAATCTTTTTTAATTATTATCTTTCTCTAAATTTTTATAATTTATAATAAATAAAATTTTTAAAATTAAGTTCTATATTTTATAATTATCTATTATCTATTATTTTAAACTATTAAGTATATTTAATTTAAATAGATAATTAATCTTATTATTTTATTTTTTTATTGAAAATTAAGTTCTTCTAATTAAATATAGATTAAAGAATATTTTATAAAATTATTTAAAAAAATATATATACAGCTGCTATTAAAGTTCTTAAATATTAAATAAATATTAATTATAATAAATTATTAAATCAGCTCTAATCAGAAAATATTTCTTAATTTAATTAAATATTTCTTAATAAAAAATATAAATTATTATAAAATTTTATTAGACTTTTAATTAATATCTAAATCTTATATTAATAAAAATCTAGCTATAATTATTTTATTAGTCTTATATAAATATAATCTTATTTATTAATTATTAAATATAATAATTAATAATATTAATAATAATAATATAATATTTAATATAATCTTAGCTGAATTCTAAACTTAACTTAATTAAAGTATTTAGTTTTATAATATTTTAATTAATTTTAATTTTTTAAAAATTATTTAAAGCTAATATTATATTCTCTATCTTATTTATATAATTTAGCTTATAATTAATATTCTTCTATAAAAACTTTAAATTAAGATCTTGAATAGTACTGTTAAATATATATAAAAAAATAATAATAAAAATCTTAAAATTTTTTTTAATATTTTAAAAATTCTTAAGAAAATATATTCTAAAAACTGTCTATAAAAAACTAATATAAAATTTTTTTTTATAAAAAGCTTCTAAAAGTTTTCTATCAGCTAGTTTATTATATTAATTCTTAATTATAAATTTAAAAGATTATATAATTTATAAATATAAGCTCTTAATATTATAAAAAATTTTTATTTATTTAATAATTTAAATCTGGCTTAGTTTATTATTTTTTTTTAATTATAAAATCTACTAGAACTTAATCTATTTTATAATTTATTAAATATTTAATCTTTATTAAATAATTAAAAGTTTTATTTAATATTATAAATATAATAATATTAATTATTTTTATTTTATTATAATTAAGTAGAAATAAATAAAATATTTTTTTAAATTTTTATATCTTTTTTTTTTTTATTTTCTATCTTTTTAAAAATAGTAAATCTATTATTTATAAAATTTATAATATTTATAATAATTTTTTTAATTATTTAAATTATTTAATTAATAGATTAAAAAAAAACAAGTATTCTAAAAAAAAAGATTCTTAAAAATTTATATAATATATATTAAAAATTCTAAAAATATTATTATTATATTTATTAAATAAAAGATTATATCTATATAATTATAATTATTCTAAATCTAATATTAAAGTTTAAGAAATTTAAAAAAAATATATAACTAAATAATAATATTAACTAATATTATAAATATTAAACTATCTTTAAAAAAATATTTTTTTTTTATTCTAATTAAAACTTAATAATTAATATATTATTAATAATCTTTAAATTATTATTAAATTTAAATAAGATCTTTTATAATATTTTTAAATATTAAAGACTCTTATCTGCAGTTAAGATATATAAAAAACTTAAGATATATTTAAATATTAAAAATATATAATTTCTTAAAATATTTTTAATTAAATTAATATAATTCTAGATATTATAAAATATATTAATATTTTTATTTACTAGAAATTTTATTATAATTAATTTTTTATTTTTTATTAGATAACTAAAGATTTTCTTTTAATTGGAAATTAATAATATTAATATTAAATATTTTTTTAATAATTCTTAAGATATCTGCTATTATTATTAAAACTATCTTAATTCTAATATAATTAAAATAATTATATTTTAAATATATATTAATTATTTTTATATTTAAAAAATAAAAGAAGAATAAGATAATTATTATTTTTTATATTAATAAAAATAAAAATATAAATAATTTTAAAAATAATTTAAAGAATAAATTATTATTAAAATTAAAAAAACTAGTCTTATCTAAGTCTTTAATTATTATATATATTTAAATAAAAATAAAGATCTAATTTTTATAATTTTTATATTATTATAATTATTATTTTAGACAGTATAAAAAATAAATATTTTATATTTTTTTTTATTTTTTTTATACTAGATTTTATAAAAGTTTTTTTTAAAATATAATATATTTTTTAAAATAATTAATTCAGCAGATTAAGTAATAGACTATATCTAAAAAATATTATTATATTTATATTATAATTAAATATATATTATACTTTATATATTATTTATATAAAAAAAATATATATATTATAAATTAATCTATAATTATTAATTTATTTATTATATCTAATCTTTCTGATTAGCAGATATAAATAATTATAATAATAATTATATTTTAATCTAATCTTAATTATATAATTAAAAATTTTTTATATTTTAATCTAATTATTAAATTATAGTCAGATTAAGATTAAAATATAATAATTAGATTAAATTACTCTAGATATATTTATTTAATATATATAATTATTTTAATTAATCTATTT